GATATGCATATTACACCATATTACACCTGCCATGACTTCTGATTATTGTCCAAGGGCAATTTAATGTGCTGTTTTCAACATAAGAAACCTGTTTCCTTTGCAAGGGGTGACCTTAAAGAATGTATCTGTACTCTAGAATTGACTCAATCCCTTTGATGATGTAGGAGAAGCAGCTGCTTATCTCTCATATTGGGGAGGACAGAGGGGGCTGAGGCCTGGATGCATCCCTTTTCCTTTATGAGAACGGCCCACTGAAATGGGCTCCTGCAAGAAGCATCTTTCATTCCAACCCTGACCACTGTCTGGAAGCTTCAGAAAATGGAAGATTGCTGGAGACTGTTTGGGGGTAATAAAATAGACAGCATCTGGAGTGCATTTAGTGAATAGAATAGAATAGAATAGAATAGAATAGAATAGAATAGAATAGAATAGAATAGAATAGAATAGAATAACAGAGTTGGAAGGATTTTGTAGGTCATCTAGTCCAAACTTCTACCCAACCAGGAGACACTGACAGATGGCTATCCAGTCTTTTAAAAAACTCCAGTAATGAAGCACCCACAACTTATGAAGGCAAGCTGTTCCACTGGTTAATTATCCTCATTGTTAAGAAGTTTTTCCTTAATTCCAAGTTGCTTCTCTCCTTGATCAGTTTCCATCCATTGTTTCTTGTCTGGCCTTCAGGTGTTTTGGAAAATAAGTGGACCCCCTCCTCTCTGTGACAGCCCCTCAAATATTGGGACACTGCTATCATGTCTCCCCTAGTCCTTCTCTTCACTAGATTAGCTTAATAATTTTGACAATGGATTTCTATGATTTATAGTTCCATTTTTTTTTTTTTTGCTATTTAATTGTGTGAGCTGCTAAGAATCAATATAGAATTGCCCTGGATTACTCACGTGATATACCAATCGATAAATATAAATGAATTATAAGAACCTGAATCAGGTAGAACCTGAATCTTTTCTTTTTGGTACAGAAAAGAAATAGCGTGTGTATGTGTGTGTTTGTGTGTTCGGGGAGGGGGCTATGAAGAAAAGAAACAAAACTAGCATTTCTTTCTCATCCAGTCTTACAAAGTGATATTTGTGTCACTCTTGATTCCAATTGAAGAAATATATCATATTTTATTTTTATTTATGTATTTCCTGAGCTGGGGCTATTGAGCTTGTTCTATTCAGTCAGGAAACTCTGGAAAACTTCTGGAGTTCAGAAAGATTGTCCCAAGCCCTATTTTCTTACCTTTACAATGAGCCTGGTGGCACCCTCCTATCTGCTTTGCACAAGAGGGCAGCAGTGTCCAACAAAATGATATTCTCCACTTAAAACAAATGAAAGTATGGTTTCATCTGTTAGCCAGATAAAGTAATTAATTAATTAATTTCATCTGTTAGAATAGAATATACTTTATTTGACATTAGGACTATTTTCAGAATATCTACAATGAAGGATGAAGGCACTCTAGAAAGTCAAAGCAGTGTGTATCGCTTATATCTTGAGGGCTATTTAAATTCAGTGACAGCTTCCTGGTGAAAGGAACCATATCTTCCTGTTCTCCTGCTGCGCGCAACATCTCAAAGGTTGAGTGCTTGTCTGAATGTTTTCCCATCAGTAAGAAACCTACAAGGTTTTGAGCTACCAAAAATGGCACCCCGGCTAAACTTCATGTCCTTGTTAGTTGTCCTCAGAGGTATTATTATTTTCCTTTCCAAAGAGAGGGATTATTCCCCAGTTTCTTGTGTTTCCCTGCAGGAAGTCTTATTAAACAAACTTTCTTTCTAGGTGTCCAATCTGAGGCTCAGTTAGTGGAGTCTGGAGGGGAGGGGAGAAGACCTGGAGAGACCCTCCATCTCTCCTGCCAAGCCTCAGGATTCACCTTTGGCAACTACTGGATGGTCTGGGTGAGACAGGTTCCAGGAAAAGGCCTGGAGTGGGTTGTACATACATGGTCTTCATATTTTTACTACTCTGACAAAGTGAACGGACACTTCACCATTTCCAAGGATGAGGACAAAATCCAGCTTGTATCTGCAAATGAACAGCCTCAAACTACAGAACACGGCCATCTATTACTGTGTGAGAGGGACACACAGTGAGAGGAAGTGAATATGTTTATTTCTGCATTTTTTTTCTAATAAAAAAACCAGCTTTATTAATTCAGATTCTCACTTTGTTTCTTCATTCTGTACATCAACCTTCATCCATTCAATCTATATATTCATATAGTGAACACTGTATTTCTATTTCATACTCAGTCCAGGTTGATATTTACTCAGTCCACCTATTCCTGACCCTGTCCCTCTCATTTTACCATTCATATTTCTTAGCCTTTTATTTATTGATAATATCATAAATTTATCTAAATCAGGACAAATATTTGGGGATGTAGATATGAAAATCACTGTCAAAGTTCAAATTGTAGACAGTGATGGTTTGTTAGATATAGCCTTTCTTTCTTATAAACTGATTTTATCTTCCCCATGAAACCCAGATGCAAATGAGGGCACTGAGCTGTTTCTCCTTTAAATAATCACAAATACACAAAAGAGCATCCCAGACCCAAAGGTGTCAGTGCAGTAAAAGAAGGCGTGTTTTCTCACTGCCCCATGGAGCCTGCCATTGTACTTCTTTGCTTAGTAGCAGCTCCTGTGTGTGAGTATCTTCCAGATAGACCCTGAACAATGAGATAAAACAAAAGCAGAGTTATTTACTAATTATTACTTTCTCATTCGCTTAGATGTCCACTCCACCATCCAACTTGTGGAATCTGGGCCAGGAAGAGTGAGCCCTGGAGGATCCTTCAGATTAACTTGCAAAGTGACAGGGCAATCCATTAAGAATGTAGACTTGGCATGGATCCGCCAGGCTCCAGGAAAAGGATTGGAATGGGTGGGTACCACAGTCTTGGAAGATGTTGAATGGAGTACAGCGTATGCCTCATCCCTCCAAAGTCGAACGACCTTGACAACCGATGACTCCAAGAATGAATGTTACTTGACAATGAAATCCCTGACAGCTGCAGACTCAGCCACATATTACTGTGCAGGAGAGTCACAGTGAGAGAAAGCAAGGGAGGAAGTGTGTAAAACCTCTCAGCTTTTGTCTGAAGAAACTTTATTCATTCACACAAATGGATTGAGATAATTTATTTATTCTTTCAGCTTGCTGTTGGCTGCAAAATGGAACAAGCTACTATTCCAAGTCAAGAAGAAGTCGGACTATATTTCAGAGTAGCTATTCATATTCAGAACTGCACATAGCTTGTTATTTGCATCTATTTTCTTTTCTCTTTCTTTTTTCCTATTTACACAGGTTTCTCAAGAATTAGCTGCAACATCATTGTTGTGGATTAAAAGATACAGATCCCTGGTAGTTGGGTTGATTACAAGTCCTAAGAGTCATTTAGCCTTCTCTCTTCCCATTCCTCCTTGGTATACTCAGATGTGTGTTGGTTTTAAAAGGAGCTCAGTATGGGTGTCATATGGTATGAATGGAAGGAATCAGATCAGTCAGAATATACAGAATTCTACTTCACTAATAGCAATTTCATCAGGGCTGAACTACACATTACACCATATGAGTATCTGCTAGTTCTAAGGAAACAAGTGGAAATAATATATATTTCACATTATTACCAATTAAATGGATATATTAAGGAACTTTTGTGGAGATTGACACCAAAAGAATGAATATATCTATATATTTTATTTTTATTTATTTCTTGAGGTGGAGCTATTGAGCCCATTCTATTCAGCCTGGAAACTCTGGAGAACTCCTACAGATCAGAAACACTATCCCGAGCCCTATTTTCTTACCTTTACAATGAGCCTGATGGTAGCCTTCCATCTGCTTTGCACGAGAGGGCAGCAGTGTCTAACAAATTAACATTCTCCACTTAACCCAAGTGAAAGTGTGGTTTCATCTGTTAGCCAGATGGTTTTCTCTTCTGCTTCTGATTTGTCATTCAATGGGTCTCTGGAGACCATCCTTTCCCAAGATTCTTTCTCATAATTCCTTTTTTTTAGCTCTGAGATAAAATTGCTTCACTTTTTTCTTTTTTTTTTCTTTTTCATTTGCAGACCAGTGGAAGCAACAACAAACACAACATACAGTAGTTATCAACTGTCATATTCTGCTGGACAGTCTGCAGAACTAGGTTTTGGGAGGTCTGTTTGGAATGGTTCAATTCCTTCCTCGGTGGCTAAGTCCTAATAATACTGTTATGCTTCCAGTGGGCACATATTATACAAATTTTGCAGACCATGCCATGATTTCCAATTATCTTCCAAGGGGAATTTAATGTGCTTATTTCAATCAATTCCGATCTTTGTCTTGGCAGAGAATGAGATGAAAAATTCCTCTGTCCATTGACATTGGCTCTTCACTATTGGTCAGATCAGGAAAAGAAGCTGCTGATCCCCCAAATTGGGGAAGGCAGAGCAAATACAAAGGTGTTAGCCATGTTTTTTGCTTCTTTATTTTTAAAAGAAAAATAAATTTGAAGCATGAGAGAGATGGATAAAGTAAAAGATGCCATGGATTACAAACTGCAGCAATAACCATATTTTGAGAAGTATCTGAAAAATTGGTACAAAAAGTAAGAAAGTGTATTCTTGATAGACACTCACTTAAGAGACTCTGGAGAACACATGGATTTAAATTTTTCAATTCCACTAAATGTGATGTACATCTCCATCATGCAGAGAACTAGGAAATCAGTTCTCTACCAGCTTTAACATTACCAAAATGCTCAAATAATGCATTACGATGATTTTTCAAGATATGACTTTCCTTCTGAGAAAATCAACCTTTTGCTTTTCATGATTATTAAGGATTAAAATAAATATATTTAACTCATGTTAGGTCATTTTCAGCATGTCTACCATGTAGGATGAAGGCAACCTAGAAGATCAAAGCTGCATGTGGTTATTTTATCCTGAGGACTATGTAAATTCAGTGACAGCTTCCTGTTCAAAGGAACCATATCATCCTGGTCTTCTGCTGCACTCAAAAACTTAAAGGTTGAGTGCTTGTCTGAATATTTTTTCCACCAGTAAGAATCGTTCACACTTTTGAGCGAGCAAAAATGGCACTCTGGCTAAACATCTTGTCCTTGTTAGTTTTCCTTGGAGGTATTATTTTCCCCTCCAAAAAGAGTGGTTGTTCCTCAGTTTCTTTTGTTTCTCTGCAGGAAGTCTTATTAAACAAACTTTCTTTCTAGGTGCCCAATCTGAGGTTCAGTTGGTGGAAACTGGAGGGGATGTGAGAAGACCTGGAGAATCCCTCCGTCTCTCCTGCCAAGGATCTGGATTCACCTTCAGCAGCTACTGGATGAGCTGGATAAGACAGGCTCCAGGGAAAGGAGTGGAATGGGTGGCAAGGATACGCAATGATGCCGCATATACTTACTACCCTGACAAAGTGAAGGGCCGCTTCACCATCTCCAGGGACAATGCCAAAAGCCAGCTGTATCTGCAAATGAACAGCCTCAAAGCTGAAGACACGGCAGTCTATTACTGTGTGAGAGACACAGTGAGAGGAACTATATGTGAAGTCACGCAAAAACTGCCCATTTCACACAGCAGCCCTGCAAATTTCTTTTGTAATAAAAAACCACTTTATTCTCCTCAGATTCTCCTTTCATATCTTCATTCGGCACTTCCACCTTCATCCATTTGGTCTATAGAAATGAGCTTCTTTTTACTTCATGTATTGAGCACCACACTTCAATTTCATCGTCAATCCAGTTTAATATTTACTCAGTCTACTCATTCTTGATCCTCTCCCTATCATTTCACCACCAATGATAGCTTACTGCTGTACTCATCCTGATTTCCTGCTGCAGTCAACATCTCAAAAGCTGAGTGCTTGTCTAAATGTTTTCCCTTCGTTAAAAATCCTCAAAACGTTTGAGAAAGCAAAAATGGCACTCTGGGTAAACCTCGTGTCCTTGTTAGTTCTCCTCACAGGCTCCAGGGAAAGGACTGGAATAGGTGGCAGGTATATATTCACTACTCATATATTCACTACTGTGATCCATTCTGTCTATAGGATCCATTCAGTCTATAGGAATGATCCTCTTTTTTTTAAATGTAATAAAGGCCACATTTCAATTTTATATTCAATCCAGTTTGATATGTATTCAATCTACTAATTCCTGTCACCCTGTCTCTCATCACCCATCTTTCTTAGCCCTTAATTTAGTAATGTTATCATAAATTTATCTAAATTAAATCAGGAAAAAAAAGTTTGGTGTTGAAAACAACAGTCAATGTCCAACGTCTGAGCTGGGACAAATTGATCGACTTAACCTACTTTTCTTATAAACTGGTTTTATCTTCCCCCTGAAACTCAGATGCCAATGAATCACTGAGATGTTCCTCCTTTAAACAATCACAAACACTCAAAAGAGCTTCACAGACTCAATGTTCTGATTGGGCTAAAGGAAAGGTTGTATTTCTCACTCTTCAGTGGATTTTGCCATTCTTCATCTTCTTTCCTTCTTTGCTTTATGTTTCAGGTAGACCTGAGCAATGAGTTAAAACAAAAGCAGGATTGTGTGGGATGGTGATAACTGGAGTAGTCCTATGCCTCATCCCTCCAACATCCAACAACCTTGACAGCTGATGACTCCCGCAATGAATTATATTTGACAATGAAGTTCCTGACCTCTGCAGACTCAGCAACATATTTTTAGCTCTGAGATAAAATTGCTTCCCTTTCTTTCTTTTTCATTTGCAGACCAAGCTTGATATGTTGGAAACAATTCCTCTCTCTTTGTTCACTGCCTGTCCTCTTTTATTTATTCTTATCTATAGATGGGCATGATAGAAACATGAAAAAAAAAGGATGGAAGAAACCTAGATGTGTATTGGTGAATCGTCACTCATAGACTGCCAATGCTGAGGAAGGGAAGGGAATGACAAAGGAATCAGAAAGGAATTGGAAGGGAAGAAAGAATGTTGTGAAAGCACTGGAAACAACAACAAACATAAAATAGATATCAATTGTCATATTCTGCTCGACAGTCTGTGGAACTAGGTTTTTGGAGGTCTCTTTTTAATGTTTAATTCTTTCCTCAGTGGCTAACTCCTAATAATCCTGATATGCTTCTGATGGGCACATATTAAATAATTTTTTCAGACCATGCAATGATCTCTAATTCCAAGGGAAATTTAATGTGCTGAGTTCAACCTATGCAAACATTTGGCTTGGCATAGAATGAGCTAAAGAATTCCTCTGTCCATTGGAACTGGATCTATGCTATTGACTAGGTCAGGGAAAAAAAGCTGGTTGTCCCGCATATTGGGGAGGGCAGAGAAAATACAAAAGTGTAAGCGATGTTTTTCGCTTCTATATTTGTGTAAAAAATAAATTTGAAGCCTGAAGAGAGAGATGGAAAAATTAATAGATGCTACAGATTAAAAAGTACAACAATAACCATATTTTGAGAAGTATCTGAAAAATTGCTACAACAGCTAAGAAAGTGTATTCTTGATAGATGCTCACTTAGGGGACTCTGGATAACATATGGATTTCAATTTTGACTGAATTTATTTACTTGCAACTGTGGGAATTAGTTCCACTAAATGAGATGTACATCTCCATCATTCAGAGAACTAGCCAATTAGTTCTCTACCAGCTTTAATATTACCAAAATGCTCAAATAATGCATTACAATGATTTTTCAAGATATGACTTTCCTTCTGAGAAAATGAACCGGTTGCTTTTCATGTTTCTTAAGGATTGAAATAAATATATTTAACTCATGTTAGGTCATGAGAAGGGAGGACTCACTGGAGAAGGGCCTAATGTTGGGAAAGATTGAGGGCAATAGAACAAGGGGACAACAGAGAATGAGGTGGCTGGATGGAGTCACTGAAGCAGTAGTTTTGAGCTTAAATGGACTCCAGAAGATGGTAGAGGACAGGAAGACCTGGAGGAACATTGTCCATGGGGTCGCAATGGGTCAGACACAACTTCACAATTAACAACACAAGATTATTTTCAGCATGTCTGCAATGTAGGATGAAGGCAATCTATAAGGTCAAAGTTGCATGTGGTTCTTTTATCCTGAGGACTATGTAAATTCAGTGACAGCTTCCTGTTCAAAGGAACCATATCATCCTGCTCTCCTGCTGTACTCAAAAACAGGGGTTGAGTGCTTGTCTGAATATTTTTCCATCAGTAAGAATCCTTCACACTTTTGAGCGAGCAAAAATGGCACTCTGGCTAAATATCATGTCCTTGTTAGTTGTTCTTGGAGGTATTATTTTCCCCTCAGAAAAGAGTGGTTATTCGTCAGTTTCTTGGGTTTACCTGCAGGAAGTCTTATTAAACAAACTTTCTTTCTAGGTGCTCAATCTGAGGTTCAGTTGGTGGAAACTGGAGGGGATGTGAGAAGACCTGAAGAATCCCTCCGTCTCTCCTGCCAAGCCTCTGGATTCACTTTCAGCAGCTACTGGATGAGCTGGGTGAGACAGGCTCCAGGGAAAGGCCTGGAATGGGTGGCAAGAATATATTCTTCATATATTTACTACTCCGACAAAGTGAAGGGTCGCTTCACCATCTCCAGGGACGATGCCAAAAGCCAGCTGTATCTGCAAATGAACAGCCTGAAAGCTGAAGACACAGCAGTCTATTACTGTGCGAGAGACACAGTGAGAGGAACTATATGTGAAGCCATGTAAAAACTGTTAATGACAATGAAGTTCATTATATTTGACAATGAAGTTCTGACTTCTGCAGACTCAGCAACATATTTTTAGCTCTGAGATAAAATCGCATCCCTTTTTCATTTGCAGACCAAGTTTGATATCTTTGAAACAATTTCTCTCTCTTTGTTCATTACCTGTCCTCTTTTATTTATTCTTATCTACAGATGGGCATGACAGATACATGAAAAAAAATGCATGGAAGAAACCTAGCAGTATATTGGTGAATCGTCACTCATAGACTGCCAATGCTGAGGAAGGGAAGGGAATCACAAAGGAAGGAATTGGAAGAGTATTGGAAGGAAAGGAAGAATGTTTTGAAAGCAGTGGAAACAACAAGAAACATAAAATAGATATCAACTGTCATATTCTGCTGGACAGTCTGTGGAACTAGGTTTTTGGAGGTCTGTTTTGAATGGTTCAATTCATTCCTCAGTGGCTAACTGCTATTAAGCCTGATATCCTTCTGGTGGGCACATATTAAATAAATTTTGCAGACTATGCAATGACCTCTGATCCCAAGGGCAATTTAATGTGCTGATTTCAACCTATGCAAACCTTTGGCTTGGCCCAGAGTGAGCTAAATAATTTCTCTGTCCATTGGAAGTGGATCTTCACTATTGATTAGGTCAGGGGAAAAAAGCTGGTTGTCCCCCCTATTGGGGAGGGCAGACAAAATACAAAAGTGTAGATCATGTTTTTTGTTTCTATACTTGTATATAAAAAAAAATAAATATGAAGCATGAGAGAGAGAGAGATGGATAAAGTAACAGATGCCATGCATTGCAAACTACAATAATAATCATATTTTCAGAAGTATCTAAAAAAATGCTGCAAGGTAAGAAGGTGTATCCTTAATAGATGCTCGCATATGGATTAAAATAAATATACTTTAACTGATGTTGGGACATTGTCAGTCATGTCTACAATGGAGGATGAAGACACTCTAGAAAGACAAAGCAGTGTGTATCTCTTTTATCCTGAGGGCTATGTAAATTCAGTGACAGCTTCCTGTTAAAAGGGACCATATCTTTCTATTCTCCTGCTCCACTCAAGATCTCAAGGGTTGACTGCTTGACTGAATGTTTTCCCATCAGTAAGAATTCACCAAGGTTTTCAGCAACGAAAAATGGCACTCTGGCTAAACCTTCTGTCCTTGTTAGTTGTCCTCAGAGGTATTATTTTCCCCTCCAAAGAGAGGGATTATTCCTCAGTTTCTTAAGTTTCCCTGCAGGAGGTCTTATTAAACAACCTTTCTTTCTAGGTGTCCAATCTGAGATTCAGTTGGTGGAGTCTGGAGGGGATGTAAGAAGATCTGGAGAGACCCTCCGTCTCTCCTGCCAAGCCTCTGGATTCACCTTCAGCAGCTATGAGATGGTCTGGGTGAGACAGGCTCCAGGGAAAGGTCTGGAATGGGTGGCTTATATATGGTCTTCAGATATTTACTACTCTGACAAAGTGAAGGGACGCTTCACCATCTCCAGGAATGATGCCAAAAGCCAGCTGTATCTGCAAATGAACAGCCTCAAACCAGAGGACACAGCCATCTATTACTGTGCGAGAGACACAATGAGAGGAAGTATATGTGAAGCCAAGCAAAAACTGCCTATTTCGTCCAATGGTTCTGCAAATTTCTTTTCTAAGAAAAAAACAGGTTCATTAATTCAGATTCTCCCTTCATGCCTTCATTCTGTACACGAACCTTCATCCATTCAATCTATAGGAACAGACCTCTTTTTGTTCATTTAGTGACCACCAGATTTCAATTTCATATTCAATCCAAGATATTTACTCAGTCTACTTATTCTTGACCCTAACCCTTTCATTTCACCACCCATATTTCTTGGTTCTTAATTTTGTAATGTTATCATAGATTTATCTAAGTCCTAAGAGTTAGGTAAACCTTTTTATTCCTCTTCAGTATATCCACATGTCTACTGGTTTTCAAGTCAGGACAATATGAATGTGAGATGGTAGGAATGGAAAAGATCTGATCAGTCACTAAACAGAATTCTGCTTCATTGATAGCTGTTTCATTAGGGCTGAACTTCACATTACATCTGA